GCTGAATAAGCCAGAGACTGTACCTATTGCCAAGGAACACACTGTTCCAATTAGGGAAGGCAGACTTACATACCAATAACCAAATACATATGTGAGATGACTTCAGTTGAAGATGACTGCTCAGAAGAAAATATCCTCTGCTGTGATTTGCCAGTGTTAAGCCTAGCATAAGTAGTAGGGGATTAGATTGATTTGGGTGTCAGGAAAGGGCTCGGTGAGGGGTTTTCATTTGAGTTTGAACCAGAATAAGAATTAAATGTGAATGGGCACTCTGGGTAAACCTTGGCACTTTGGACCAAGTCATATGTTCATTATTTAGATACAAGCCTAGGAAAGGCATAGTTCAAACCGCCCAGAAGCCTCAGAGTTTCTACAGGGACTAATAGAGACTCCACAAAGCACCCATGATCCTAAATCTAGAAGGAGATTCTCTAGGTCTACCACAGTGTTATCTCTAGGTCTACCATTGTGTTATTCTATGGAGCTGCTATAACAAAACTCAGTCTTGAGCATTCACATTTCTCAGACCTTTTATTTTTAACTCATCCTAGAAAAATAGCATGTTTCAGTCACTGAGCCTACAGTCTAGACACAAGACAGAAGGTGGAGTGAATTCAGCCTCTGACTTGCTCAGCACCCAGGAAATAATTCACTGTTAGTAGCTGTTTTATTCGTGGAATCTTTGAAACAGAAAACATTTTGTGGAATTACTGCCTGATGTTCTGATGCTTAGTGGTGGGATCTAGTTGACCCTGACCTGCCCAGTAAGCCATCTCAGGTTGAGTGGCCCACCATTGCCTCAACTTTTCAATTCTGCCACACTCATCCCAACCTTTGAAAGCCCTCCACCAGATGGAGCTCTGTTCAGCCCCGCCTCTTACCATCAACTGGGTAGTTCATCTTGATTATCTTGTTCACAGACTGGCTTTGGGGAGCGGACCAAGTCCTCTGAGAGCAGCAAATCCAGGCTTCCAAACCTTCCCACATCTCAGTGCTCAGCTCTGTACCCTTCCTGGAAGAACCACTCAATATATCTTTGTTGGTTGACCACAGTTAAATGGTAAAATAAAGTGATAGAGAAATGTGGTAAGATATGAAGAGTATTTTTGTCTTCATTCATCTGTTTAGTAAACCTCTGACAACACACAGTGCTCATGGAATTAAAAAGTGTGAGCCTTACTTTCCTAGAGATCTGCTCGGCCCACACTTAGAAAGATGGCCAAACAACATTGCAAAAGAGAAGGGCACGCATTAAACACGGCTGGGGAAGTGGAGAAACAGAATTCATTGGGTGCTGATGAGTCCTGGGAAATTTTAACATACAAAGTCTAGTGGAACCAGTATTCTAAGGCTGTCACTTGCTTTTGTGTGATGTCAGACAAATTCTACTCTCTGGGCCTCATTTCTCTAGACTATAAAATGGGTGATAACTGAATTTCAGAGAACTGTGGGGGTTAAATGTTACTATGTATATAATAACCCATACAGTGATTGTCCAATAAGACATAGTACTATTCAACTTATTAATTTTATTAGTTCTCCTAATCTAGCTTCAAAACTTCCTAGCTATTCCAACCTAGAAGTGTTTTATTTTTATTTTTATTTTTTTGGCAGTACTGGGGATCTAACCGAGACTGATCCATGCTAGACAAGCACCCTATCACTTGAGTTACATTCCCACCCCTGGAGTAATACTAATTCTTCATTCCTATGCATCAGTTTACTCATCTGTAAAACGAGCGTATAGTAAGTGCAACTATATCATAATTATTATTGGGATTCAATCATAGTGTTGGGAGGTTGAATAATAGATGAGATATTATATAAAGCATTTTGATACTGCCTAATACACAGTGAATGCCCCCAAATCCTGGGCTATATGGTTACACATTCAATTTCATTTAATCTCATTATTCATAAAAATACGTGTACAAAATGTCAGCAGAAGAAAGAATGGGAGATTGCAAAATAACTTTTATTCTGCTCAAAGTGTGAAGGCCATTGCTTCCTAGTATCTCCACAAAGATCATTAAAGCTAAGTGGATTAAATAGATAATTTTTAAAGTTTCTTCAAATTAGAATCTGTTACTGAAACATTTATGCTTTAGGGACTAGAAAACACTCAAAGAATGACACTAGTAAGAACAAAGCAGAATAAAAGAAAATTAGATCAAAAAGTCCTCTGCTGGTTGTGAGGAAAACTACAGTCTTACTGCAAGATGGATTAGGCTGGGCTTCCAAGGTGAGCAGAGGTGCTCAGGCCTACCTACATGCAGTTCCTTTGCAACTTGCTCATATGCTAGGGAACAAAGGAAAAAATGGGGGGGGGGATAGAGGGAAGGAAGGAAGGGAGGGAGGGAAGGGAGGGTTGGTCCATCTCTGCACATATAATGAAAAAACAAAACAAAATAAATCAGAATCATAAACCACTAGAATGTTGCAACTTAGAAACAGGTTATATGCAAATTAAGCAATTTTTATACAGACAAAATGAAGTTCCTACAGTATAGACTAGGAAAATGCAGCATTCATATTTAAGAGTTCAGAGTTTCCACTCATCAAAAGTTAGCCCCAGCAAGGTAGTTGTTCTTCCTTGTTCTCATGCATTATAGTCTAAAAAGATGAGGAAAATCCTGAGGGGCATGAGTGGGGGCCACACACAGCTTGCCTGTTAAATGTGATACCACTTCTGGTCCCAAATCATCATCCTGGGCAATATTTGGTGTCATCTAGTTCATCTAGTCTCTGCCCTTTAAGGCTCCATCCACTGAGATTGTCATCCTCCTGAAAGTCAGAATGATATTCAGCACCTGGGTCTGACATACCTCAGCTAGGGACCAAAAATTCTGAGAGGGCATTTTATGCAAATTTGGGTTAGGGCCAATCATAGAATGTAGAGAAGTAACCACCACATGCTCATTCCACCATTTATACTGAAACAAGATCACTGTGTGGTACATATAAACAAACAGTGGTGTCTGAAAGAGACGGGGGGGAGAGAGCGAGAGCGAGAGTGAGAGCGAGAGAGAGAGAGAGAGAGAGAGAGAGAGAGAGAGCGAGAGAGAGAGAGAGAGAGAGAGAGAGAGAGAGAGAGAGAGAGAGAGAGAGAGAGACTAGTATATGGCAATAAACTTTCAAAAAGGAGCTACTCCCAACTCTGGCCTGACCCAGACCTCAGCATCTGCCTGATACAGCTGCTTTCTGCAAAGATCCAATTCTCCTAAGGCTGCCTTCTGGAGATGGCCCCCCTGGCCACTCTAATCCCCTTGTTTTCCTTAGAGTAGAAGAGCCAAGATAATGCCTATTGACTATTCATTTGTCTTCAAATCTCTATCTCACTGAATAACTTCTGTCTTTTCCTGGGGGTAGGGGAAGTTCTATTGGTATCCAAAATGTTCCTCATATAAGAATGTCTCTATTTTGTTCCTGGAGGTTTTGTCCCTACAGGCAAGGGTTAGGGACTGAGAAGCCATCTGGAGAGCATTAAATTTCTTTAACTATATTGCTTTAGAGGTTCATTTTTGTTTTTCTATTGAAGTAGTCTGAAATCACTGCCCATTTGCAACTCTCATGAAATCCCTTCATTAAGCAGATACCCAGTCATATGAAGGAGAGAACAACTAAATGCTTCACCTTAATCCAAGCAGTCTCTGAAGACTTTATTCAAGAATCAGTGAGTAATCAGGAGTTCAGTTAGTTCCCCAAAGACAAAGGATCTTGGGATGCTTGCAGCCTCCTATAGTTCCTTAAATCACACATATTTTTTTTTTTTTGGCAGTGTCCTCATAATTCAATGCTACATGGCCAGGAATCCCTCCATAGCATCTTTTATCTCAGGAGTATCAAGTATGCAGTTCAGAGCAGTCCAATCTCAGAACAGTCATAAGGCCAAAACATCTGGCACTGGAGCCAACGTCGTATTACCAAGAATCTTCATGTCAAAGGATGAAAATAATGTCATGTTGTATTGCCTGTGCTCAGTTCCATTGACCAGTTTTGAAAACTTTATTAAATAGGACACATTAAGTCAAAGAGAGGCATGAAGGTGTATCCATGAAGCCTTTTAGCTTCTACTTCACATATGCGCTCTGAACAATTCCAGAGAGGAAAATTTCCCATTACAGTCATCCAGTTGTTACCTTAGTGTGAGTGGTGTGGTTTATCAACACTGGAAATGGAGCTAGTGTTTCCACAGCAAAGTAAGGAGGGAGATAGACTCACCCTACTTTACACAAAGCATAGCCAGGATTCTACTCTTCCTCCCCCAGTTCATGCCAACCTCAGCCCGGTAAGTCAATCCTGAACCGACACAACCCTGAAACCTAGTGTCTGTTCAGTAGTGTTTTACTGCTTTGGTGGACAGTGCAAAAAACACACGGTCCACTCACACAAACAGCGTTTTCCACGGACAAATCAGAGTCCATAACATCAGCTTCTCAAAGCCAGTTGAGACAGGAGAAAGCATCTGCCTCTGCTCACCAGCTCACGGCACCAAGGCATTCCAGAAAAACTATGGTACAATCAAGCCCAAGGAAAGAGATTCTGCAGAGTCCAGCCAAGGCTGGCCTCTCCCGGTGGCACGGGCAGAGCGAGGACATCCACACCAAGCCAGAGCCTTCCTTTGGGGCTCATTAACTTCGGACAGAAAACCGTTCATGCTGAGTCTCATCCAAGTCCGGGTCACCACAGCCATCAGGCTCAGGCACAGACAGTGCCAGGATCACTGCTCTCAAAATCAGAGGCTCCCTGGCCTAGCTACCCCTCACCCTTACCAAATCCCTGAGCCAATCAAGCCAGGTTTGAGAAACACATCTCATCACCAACATTGTCCCATGACTGATGTCCCTGGGCAGAGCAGCTGGCTCATCCAGGAATTGGGTAGCGTAAGGAACGAACGACCTCTCCCATAGCCTTGGCTTGCTCCAGTGCACAGACCTGCACCCCTGCCCCTCATCCCCATCCCAAACAAATCATCATTTCGTAGGATGTCAGTTCCCTACCTGAGGGTGGCGCTCTCCCCCTGCCGGACCGTCACGTTGTCCATAGCTTTGGGGAAGGTGGCATCTCCGCTGCGCACCGGCACTCCTGTGGGTACAAGGAACAGCAGCCTGAGAGACACGACCACGAGGCACTTCCAGGGCAGGAACAGGTACCCACAGACCCCCATCCTCGACAGCCGCAACTTCCCAGAACTCCGGCAGCGGCAGTCACACGCCCCCCAGGCGAGCACAGGAAGTGGGTGGGGTGGGGAGCGAGCGCAGGGACCAGGCGCTGAACTAGCCGAGACCGCGCTACGCGCGGGGAGGAGGAAAGCGCGCAGACTCTTCCAAGTCTAATATTCCTTCCCCAAATCCAGCCTCAGCTTGCCAGCCTCCGAGAACCAGTTTCCACCGCAGACATCCGAAGCGGGCTTTCCCCGTGCTGCCTGCTCAGGGGGGAAAAGGTGACGGAGAAAGGAGAAGCCAGAGGGTGGCAGGTGCACAGGTGCCGTCTCAGGAGCTGCTGCTTCCCGGGAGCAGTTCAGATATAACACTTTGGAGCGTAAGCACTTTGGTATCGAAAGGGGCTGGGGCTGGGTTTCATCCAGCTGCCCAGATGTGGCGTGCAATTCCTCAGTTAGAATAAGGAGAAATCCAGCACTTTCTGGTTAAGTTTCGGAGAGAGGCTGGCCGCCAGAAACAATGTGGAACAATAGCTGAGGGAAAGTAGAGCACGCAGGAGGCGGGCGAGGGTGGTGCAAAGATGCGACCGCTAAGCCGGCTTCGTGCAGTCCGGCCGGGGGGATCCTGCCGCAGAGCCTCGCTCAAGTATCCTCGGAGCCCAGATGCGCTCCGCAGCCTGGCGGATCCGGCTGTCTCTGCAGCTCCGCGGCCCGGCACAAGCTGCCCGGCAGGGGCGGACCCCGCGGCCCCTCGCTGGCTCGCCGCAGAAGGCGAAGAAGCGCAGCCGGCACCGGAGCCGCGCGGATGCCACGCTCAGCGGCCGCCCCCGGCCTCCGTGCCGCCTTCCTCCCGGGAGCAGCCCCGACGCGCGCGGGCCCCGACCGCCGGGGTTGTCATGGCAGCAGCTCCATCCCTGACCGCCACTCTCTCCCGGTGCCGACTCGGAGCTAGCGGCTGGCGGGCGGCGTGAACTGCGCGCTCTTCCTGGCGGGTGCAGGGAGCGGGCGCCCACCTTAACCCCCACCGCGCCGGCCAGAGCTGTGCATCACCTCTGGCCATGGCTTTAACCATTTCCCGCCTTCAAGAGAGGGCTCTTCAGAATTAAGAAGACAAAGTTACTATGAGATCCTAATAAGCCCTAGACATTTTAATAAGGTCACAAACCTACTAGGAAGAGCAGCGCCTGTAGCATGCACACATGCACTTTTAAAATGGTCCGATTAATTCCATTAGCATTTAGAGTTCATTTACAGTGTTAGGAAGATGTTTCAGAATAATGCCATTTTTATTCAGTGTTACACCTCCCTATGTATACGACCTCCCCAAAGCTCATTAAAACCTGTAGACTCAACACCAACGTTCTAAATAGAAATCATCCAAATTAAAAAAAATATGCATAAATCACAGAAGCATCGCTGGTGAAATGGGCAAAATTCCATCAAAATGTTGGTCAAGTTCAACACAACCTTTCTTAATTCTTGTTTTCTAGACATTATGCTAACCTTGCTAAATGGTACACTGGGATGGACCAATGTAAGCCCCTGCCTGGTGTATAGGACAGACTCTTCCTCAGGTTCTGGGTTCATATTCTGGGCAGCTGATTTCATCTTAAAGAGGTGTGGCTTTTGTAACTCCTCAAGCCAGGGAAAGACTGGCTATGCCTCAGGTCCTATGACTTCCCTCCTGCTGCTGATTCCCTGGGACCACGTCTGTTTCTCCCTCACCCTAGCTCTGGTGGGATGTGCCTGGCTCCTATGCTGGGAACAGAGTGGGTAGGTAGACACAGTGGGGGTACCTCTGATAAGGCTCCCTTCCTAGAGACTTCCTTCCAGTCCTGAGCTTTTAACACTGACCTAAATTTTCCCTGAGGATGGAAAGGAGGCTTTGTTGTCCTTGCCTGCTAGATTTCTAATGTACGCAATCAGGATACTATTAAAAACATAGTATGAAATAACAGAAAGAAAAATATTCTTTCCCAGAGCCATCTAACACCAGACACCAAACCATTACAACAGAACTGTTATTAACTACAAGGGTCTTGGTGTCATCACCTGGCCTTTACCACCACTGAATGTCATTTATGTGTAGATAACCTGCTGAAGATCACACAAATATACGTCTTCCACCATATCCCCCTCACACTACCTACTGTACAGAGGGCAGCTTGGAATGTGTAAGCCAAAGTCCAGGGTCCCAAAAGAAGGTGAGAAAGCTTGCCTTTCAGTTTTCATGGGTGACCATGAAATGCTGAGCAACTTTACACTGAAGTGTCAAAATGCTTTGCATTAATTTATCACTAGGCCAGTTTCTTACTGTCTCCTCTGGTGACTTTTCCTGATATTAAATTCTCAGGGAACCTATACACAATTTGGAGCCACTGGGGACCATTTAACACACAGCACCCAAAATGCCAGTTGTCAACTTATGGCAGCAACAAATGGCTTTGCTATCAACAAGGAAAAAATAAATGCATCTAGAGGAAATAGATCGCTCTCCTTCATATTTTTGAACAGGCATGGAGGAGACCCTCTATTTTAGCACTGGGCTCATTCTCACAAAGCCTACTCTAGCTCCATTTTACAAGGAGAAAGTATGGAAATAGGAAATTAAACTCCTTCACTCTGTTGAGCTGTTATGTGGGCAGACAGAAGGCATGAGCTTATCACTGCTGATTAGCAAGCTGATGAGTTTAGGGCTCTTTCCTAAAAACCAAAAATTCACATCCAATAATCCATCAGCCATCCTTCCTCTGGTCCCATCACAACCCCCCTTCCTAAACTTTTCATGACACGCTTAGTGGAAACAAATGCTGGTCACTGGGAAGGGAGAACTCGGTCCTCTGGGCCTTGGAGTCATTTCCCAAAAGGCCCAGGCCTGAGAATGGCAGAGCTGATTCCTTTCATGACAGTTTTAAATTCTGTCTCTTGCATCTAATTCCAGGTAGGTACAAGTGAACATTAGGTTTTGCATCTAGGAATGAAGATGACAACAGGCCATCCCACAGGGCCTGCATTTGTGATTGCCTGCATACCTGATTAACTCTACAGGAAAAAATACTTAGAAAACCATTTAAGATGGAAGGTGTATTATTAATACATTTTTTTCTGCCACTGTTTCATTATTATGGTTAGACAAAAAAATAATTCTTACGGACTCCTTAAGACATTTAGTCTATACTGTTCTTCACATACTTGATTTAAGACAAGCAGAGCGTCTTGTTAATGGCCAGGAGAAAGAGTACTCACCTATGACATCCCAGTGATTGCCCACAGAAAACACAGCAGAGCTCAGTTAACTCTCAGGGCGGACAAAGAAAAGCCACTGGCAACCTCACATCTGTTTTGTGGGCCCAGGGATTCAAACTCTATCCATAAACAGAAGTCAAGAAAGTGGTGAAAGGTCAGAGATGCCCACACAATTAACAAGGCAGATCTACTCTATTCAAACCTGCTATTGAAGTGCCTTAAAAAGATGAAGATCAAAATCACATGTCAATTGCCTCCCCATCCCCTAATCCCTAAATATAACCAGCACTTAGTGGCTTATCTATATCCTGTCTCTGGCTTCATAAAAACTGTTGGATTTATTTTATTTTTCCCAGCATATCCGAGTTAATGAAAAAGGGATGACAGTCAGAGCAATTTCATTATTTGTGTTCTTTATAGAAACAACTTCCTCTCTGCCTCCTGGAAAGCAGACTCCTAACGAGCGCCACCTCCACCTCCCCCATTCCCCTCTCCTTCCTCCCTTCTTTCTCCCATACACATATACTGTACACATAAATCAACTTGTCACAGCTTGTCTCTGCACTGACAGCTGTAATTGCTTCAGGTTATAAAAATATCTATAGGACAATGCCTTTCAAGCTCTCTCTCTCTCTCTCTCTCTCTCTCTCTCTCTCTTTCTTTCTCATACACACACACACACACACACACACACACACACACACACTCCCCAGGGGAGGAGGGCGGGGTGCATGCACATGTGGGTACACACACTCCCTGAGCAAAACAAAACAATCAGAGGTCCTTTAATAATCTTGGGACTTCAAGAGAGGGCAAGTGAAGAGTCAGGGGAGCAGACCAGAGTACATGGGGGCTTCCAGCACTGAAGCAGGATTTGAACAGAGAGAATTTCTGGTGGAAGGACAGTCAGCTGGGTTTTTGTTTTGTTTTGTTTCTTGTTTTGTTTTACTCTTTGTTACCTACAGCAGCAAGGATAAACTAAAGAGCTGCAGTTATTCTGCTATGCAACAGACCAAAGGAAGAGCAGTAGCTTAAGAAATGCCCGTTCTATTTCTCTACAAAGGCGAAAGGCCCCCCTCTCCTGGTGGAGATTTCAAACAGAAGTACAGGAGAGAAGATGAGAAATGCAGGGCAGTTAGTGAGTGGCGTGACATCAAATAGATATTGGAAGATTTAATCAGAAAGAGCACTGTAAATCTGGATAAAGAGATGCCTCCAGGGTTATAGGGAAGGGCTGGGCTTTGGAAAAATGCATGCTATTTTTTGCTCCTCTATGAATACAGGATCAAAATAAAAATCACTGCTCATCTGGGCTGCAGTCCAGTGTGTTAGGATTCCAGCAGGAAGAGCAACAGGACAACTTGAAGAGAGAAAGAGGGCTGCATGGAGAGACAAGAGGTCAGGAAAATGGAGCTCCAAGAAGGAGGATATGAAGAAAAAGCCGGGGCATGGCTGGCTGTCCAGGGGCTTTGATTCCCACAGAACTTTATAAAAGATGCACAAAGGAGAGAGATGGTAGGAAGGAAAGTGAGGAGGAGCAGTTGAAAGAGCCAAAATCAAAGTACCAAGAAAACAAAAGGCAGGGTCCCAGAGGGCACATCCCCAGAGTCAGGGGTAGGGGGGTGGAAATGGTCCCTTAAATAAGATTTAGGTCATAATAAAAGCTCAAACCCAGAAA